ATCTTTAAATTTGTTTCTTAATAAATTAAGCTTTTTTAATATGACTTTGCCTTCTATATATCTTTACCAGATATTCCTTTATTTTGTACTCTGGCTGTTCATTCACTTTACCGGTCTCCCCAGCCTGTTACCTAATTTTATAAACTAGTTTTCTGTGGAGCATAGTGACAAATTTCTACTGGCAGTCTAAGAATATACAGTCCGCCCAGCCTTCACTGTGCTGCATATGTCTTTTTGTTCTAATATGTGTGTAAGAGGGCTGGTTCACGTGTCTACTTTAGTTTGTGTATATGTTTATATGTTTGCGTGTGTCGACAAGTAATTTGTAAGTGTGCGTGTCTGTGCTTGAATGGTGGAGGATATGAAAGGGTGTGCATGCGTGTATGCAAGCATGCGTGCGTGTGAGTGTGGGTGTGAGTGGGTAGGTGGGTGCTTGACTGGCGGGGGCAGGGGAAGAGGGATGGGGAGAAATTACATTGTTAAAGGCTATCCCTCGAGGGGCGGGGGATTGCAGAAGGGGTCATAGGCTGGCCTCCTGTGAATCACAACAGTTGCTTGCCAAAAGCATAACAAAGCCAGGTGAAATTTAAACAACTGGGCTGGGCCTTCATACACTCGAATTAAAATAATATATAAAGTAGTATTCTTGTTTTTTTTTATTTATATGTATATATATATATATATATATATATATATATATATATATATATATATATATATATATATATATATATATATACATATATATATATATATATATATATATATATATATATATATATATATATATATATATATATATATATATATTATATATAATATATATATATATATATATATATATATATATATATATATATTATATATATGTATATATACACATGTACATTCATTTAGCCTTGACGAATGTTTAAGTGTGAATTGTTAATATAAGGTTAGCCACTTTCAATAAACAGACAAGTAAGTCAGTAGATATATGTTAACAAAATCCAATCGACGATCTGTGATAATAACCAAGAGCAGGAACCAGGTGTTTTAGTCTAATTCAAGTGTATGGGGGGGTCGCCTGCCCTCGAGGGGACAAACCTGTGAGGTCTAAAAGTTACCTGAGTGGGAGGAGTAGTTGTTACCTGGTTCGACGGGAGAGAACATCTTTTCGGTCTTGATCTCAGGCTCGTCGTCATTGTACGGGGAATCCGGAATGTGGGCTGACTCCACTTCTTCGATAATTCCTTGGATGTTTGGGTTTTTAGATATCACTATTCCAGTCATGTTGGGCGGCGTTAACAGTCCCGTAGCGGTCAACACTCTGTCCTTAATCTGCTCTAAACGCAAATCCCGACGCATTTCAAACTGGTAGCAGCTCGGGCAATACTGCTGCTGTTCAGAGGGAAGTGGCTCATGTTCTTCCTGAGCAGAGAGTGGTTGATGTGTATTCCGATGTGTTTGGTGTTGTTGTTGGTGGTGATAGTGGTGGACACCCTGCTGCTGGTCCCCTTGGTGGTGAGGACCCTCTGTCTCCTCCTGTGGCATCTGTAACTCATCAACATTACGAGGTCTATCTACGTTATGCCTTCTGTCGTGTCTCGTTCTATTGTTATTCCTTCTACGTTTGGCTTCCGTCAGCGCCTGCAGTAGCACAAGGGCAATAAGAAGGTAGCGACTCCACTGCATGTTTGTCAAGTCGGCTCTCGCGTCTCGCACACTTCTTCACGGCACACCCATAAGACCCGATTCAAGATTGACAAGCGCTTTTATACATAATGTCTGGGAGATAACTCGCTCCCAGTACAAGGGGCGTGTCTTTGTTGATACTCGAACCAATTAACTTTTTCAAGTGAGTCAGCTCACCGTGTCATTGGCTGTTGAGGTACTTCAAAGGAGGCCGAGGGCCACTCAGAACCCGTCTTGTTGGGCGTAGGCGTGGTCACGGGTGTATGCTGGCGTAGGTTGCTACCTGACCACGGGAATCCACCCCTCGAGGTGTTCGCCCTTCCTTACTAGTTCCGGGGATTCATGGAGTGCACCAGGAGCACTCGTTGCGTCGGCAGCTCTCCACGCTGCCTCTCTCTCTCTCTCTCACCCTCTCACCAACCAGCAGTCAGGCAGGCAGCGGTTGAGCCCCGTGTTGGCCGCTGTATCAACAGTTACGTAACAGGGAGGGCAAACACCACCACCACCAACTCCTCCTCCCTACGCAGAACTCAAACTCGTCCCCACTGCCGAATCTTCCCCGTTGAGGTGCTAAACCCACACAGTCACCACCTCGTCTGCTGCTCCCCTGCGAGTACTGCCGTTTTGCTCGTTCTTTACGGCTACTCATGTGTGTGTGTGTGTGTGTGTGTAGTAGAGGTTGTCAGTAGTGAAGTAGCTTGCTATCGTAGGTGTTAAACGCGACGAGTTAATCTGTGTCGGTAGTTGTGGTGGTGATACTGATGGTGGTGGTGGTAATTATAGTGTGCTGATAGTTTTTAATAGTGGTGCTAGTGCTAATGGTGGCGAGATTACAGATACCTGTGGTGCAGGTTATGGTGATGGCTGTGCTTATGGTGATGTTTGTGGTGCTGGTGATGGTGAAGGTAGTGCTGCTTGTTGCAGTTCTTCTGGGGCTAGCGGTGGTTGTGCTAGTCTTTTGGGGGGATAGTGGTTGCGCTAGTGATTGCAATGCTTGTGTTAGTGATAGCAATAGTGGTGATGGTAATGGTGGTGCTAATAGTGGGGTTCCTGGTGATGAGATGCTAGTGGTGATTATGGTGTTGGTGACACTATCGCTACAAACCATTTGGTTGCTGCAGGTGAGGTGACGTTGTGGTTATCATTTCGTGACTTTAAGCTTTACAGTAGTAGTAGTAATATAATATCTGTAGTGGCAATCATGTCAATGGAATTAACATGAGCAGTAATAGTAGCAGTTTTTGGTAATAATAGTTGTAGTCGAAGTCGATATAATGGCATTCGCAGTATTTCCACATTAATAGAAACCAGTACTGATAGCTGTAGTGGAGGTAATAGTAGTAGTGGTGGTAGAGATGACAGTGGTAATCAGTGGTAGTACTAGTAATGGAAGTAAAGTTCGCCTCTGAAGGAGACTTGCTTGTTCCAATAGTAATGATGCGACTACGAGTGATGTAATACTAATGGTATTGCTGGCACTAATGGTCTAATTGATACTCATGGTCTGGTTGGTACTAATGGCCTGATTGATACTAATGATCATGTGGGAATTAACGATCTTGTTGATACTAATGATCTCGTTTTGGCACTATCCGTATCAGCCTTGTATATCACAGAGAGAACTAGTGCCAATAAAATGTGTAAGAAGACACGTGCAACGCATGGGGACATTTCATTTAGGTTTCGCCCACCAGGAGCTTCCTCAGTCCAGTACAAGAGTACATAATACCGGAGAATATATAATCGAAAGCATGTCAGAGATGGCGAGGTCAGGTGTAGTAAAGGCTGCCAGGTCGCCTGGTCGCTTGTGTCTGACAAGATTCACGCAGCCAAAACTTGATGTGCTGACGCTCTGTGTGGGAGGAAGCAACGAGATTTGAACATGAGATACGAATGCAATAATAATAATAATAATAAAAATAATAATAATAATAATAATAATAATAATAATAAAAATATTAATAATAATAATAATAATAATAATAAAAATTATAATAATAATAATAATAATAATAATAATAGTAATAATGACATGTGAAGCAAACAGTAAAGGACATCTTACGAAGCCAGACGAGGTTAAACTTGCCCTGAAGCAGCAGGACCTGTGCATGCGATGCTGCTTCCAGTCAATCGTAATATGTCTTAGCCATACATTGGTGCAAAATACTGCAGCCTGTCTAAAGTTCTGGCTAAGCACATCTTCAGGCAACTTCACCATAACTGTGTAAAACTAAATTGTAAAGGCACAGATCAAATATTTGGTTCAGAATGGACAAACATTTAATAATATAGTACCTGGAGAGTTTACCTGGAGAGAGTTTCGGGGGTCAATGCCCCCGCGGCCCGGTCTGTGACCAGGCCTCCTCAGTACTGACAAGTGCCATTTAACTAATAAATACAACTTAACACTAAACTTGAACTAATTCTGGTGGTAAAAGTATAAATGTCAATAGTTATATAATTAGTAGCAGTTACATATGTGGCGAGAGAGAGAGAGAGACAGACAGACAGAAAGAGCGAGGGGAAATGTTGGTCAAAGAAAATAAGTTAAGAGATAATTAACCTACAAGAGGAACGGAAAATGGCTGTGAAAACGAGGAAGGTGATGGGGGTGAGGACAAGTTTGTAGGTGTTGATTGTAGAGGAGTTTGGCGGTGAGTGAAAGAGAAGAAAAACCAGAAGGCGAAACAGGTGGAGGAGAGAGAAGTGGAGGACGAGGAGGGGCGGGGCTTGTAGTGGGAGGAGGAGAAGGAGAAGGAGGAGGAGGAGGAGGAGGTGGAGGAGGAGGAGGTGGAGGAGGAGGTTGTATGGGCGGAGCTTGTAGTGGGCAACGTGTAGTGCTGCCAAGCTGGTCAGAGTGCTGGGGGGTGGCCTGGCGCTCTGGTCGTGGACACCTCAGCTCCTGTCATACAGGTGCAGCTGCTGCACCTTATGCTCTTCTTGCACTGCAGCTTCCCAGCCCTCCTTCCATTAACCTTTCAAGTGTCCCAGTACATATTTCTAACGAGTTATTCTTTACCCGTGGCTCTGCCCCAGTTAGGTATTTATTGTATCCCTGTTTTCCATTGAAGTAGTATTTATCACCGTCTCTCTCTTTCCAAAAAAAAATCATATATATATATATATATATATATATATATTATATATATATATATATATATATATATATATATATATATATATATATATATATATATATATATATATATATATATATGTTTCATGCTTACCATATTAATGCAGAATAGGTAATATTAGACGTTGTCCTCAATTTCTTGATAATGACAAATTTGATGCTCTCACAGAATGCCTTTGAGTCGTTAATGCCTAATAACATTCTAATTGAAAAATCCTGGCACTGATATGACAAAATATATACGAAAGTACTTAATGTAACATTCTTATTGATTCCATCTCCCACTGACTTATTTTTACACACAGGTTCAGCAGTTATTGAAAGAGAACTTTCATGGATGTTATATATTGTCTTGATCTGTCTGGGATTTGAATTAGAAATATTAATCCAGGTAGCTTAATTTATGAATTTGAACGGCACGTGGGAATATAATTAAAAGATTAATGGTATTTATAACGGACTTTGATTATATTTAAACTCTATAAGCATTTTTATTTAGCGGATTGCAATGTAAACTGACTGACTCGTTGCACTAACCAGGCTTAGACCTGGGTGTAATTACCTTTTTGGAGTTCAACATATAGGCCTACACATATAGTCAGTTGCATAATCACTTTTGCTTGTCGTTCATTTATTGTGGAATATAAAGAGGACATGAAAATGCATAAGGTGTTAAACTATCGTTTAATAAAAGTAAGATAATTGGAATTCTAAATAAAAATTAATATATTTGCTCTTGAAATATAAATGTGATGCTGGATGATTTAGTTTCTAGGCTTTTATATATACACATGATACTGTCGTGGTACTATGCACTAGAGGGATACACAAGATGGATGCATAATTCAATTCGTCTCATAACCCTTTCTATGGCTCATTCAACAGTGCAAGAAAATAAAATCCTCTAGCACACCATACACCGCCACACACTCAAAGTGTGCTTCATCCACTACCAGGATCTTCAAAGACAAGCCTTTAAAATATTCTGCTTTAATTTCTTTGGAAGTGTTAAATTATATTGGTAATTAAAATTTGAAAGCGTGGGCAAGCCAGGTGCTTGCCCGGCCAGAGGAAGCGGCGGAAACCTGACGAATGGAGGTAATCTTTGTTGATCATCTTATCTAAGTTAGACGACACTGTTTGCCTCAGTGGATCACAAGGTAGATGAGGCGGCGTCATGCGATGATAATTAGGTATTGATCAGGCGCGGTGTACCTCGTGACGATGACATGACTGGGGAAGGTCGACCCCCAACCCTTTCCCTACCACCGGCTTCACACTACACAGCTTTTTTCTTTTTTTCTTTTCCCTGGCGGTCCACCACATGTCACCCCCTTCTTCCCCTTCTCCCGCCTCGCCACCACATCCCACATCCAGCCCCACCTCACCACTATTTATTTATTTATTTATTAATAAATAATCATTACTTCGTCACCACTTAACTCCACAACCCATTCTCCTAATAACTATATCATACTTTCACATATGGTTTGCAGCGTATTTCTTTATTTTGGTGGGTTAAGTTACAACGGAAAGGACCATACATAATGAAAGACAATTAAACAGTCTGTCGCTGGAACAGAAAACTGGCAGCCACTGCGCGGTGCTCGTGTAAAACAGTCATATTTCAACTGTTCAAGGCTCGGTCAACAGCCACCCGTTTGATTGTTTTTACAACAGTGCCACGATGTCTGTGGTTAAGAGAAGGGACTGCTCGCCACCGCTCCCTCCCACCGCTGCCTCGCCATCATTCACCTCCCTGCTGCCTTCTCTACAAACTTGCCATCACTCCCAAACATCATTTCCTTGCTACCACTTGCCTCACCCACCACCTCGCCCCTATTTGCCCACACCACTTGCCTGGTTACCTGGAGGTTATTCCGGGGATCAACGCCCCCGCGGCCCGGTCCATGACCAGGCCTCCCGATGGATCAGGGCCTGATCAACTAGGCTGTTACTGCTGGCCGCACACAGTCCAACGTACGAGCCACAGCCCGGCTGATCCGGCACTGACTTTAGGTATTTGTCCAGCTCTCTCTTGAAGGCAGCCAGGGGTTTACTGGCAATTCCCCTAATGCTTGATGGGAGGCTGTTGAACAATCTTGGGCCCCGGACACTTATGGTGTTTTCCCTTAGTGTACCAATGGCGCCCCTACTTTTTATTGGGGGCATTTTGCATCGCCTGCCCAGTCTTTTACTTTCGTAGGGAGTGATTTCTGTGTGCAGATTTGGGACCATTCCTTCCAAGATTTTCCAAGTGTAGATTATGATATATCTCTCCCTCCTGCGTTCCAACGAGTACAAGTCAAGTGCTTCCAAGCGTTCCCAATAGTTAAGGTGCTTGACAGAACTTATACATGCAGTAAAGGATCTCTGTACACTCTCTAGATCTGCGATTTCACCTGCTTTGAATGGAGATGTTAATGTACAGCAGTATTCCAGCCTAGAGAGAACAAGTGATTTGAAAAGGATCATCATGGGCTTGGCATCTCTCGTTTTGAAAGTTCTCATTATCCATCCTATCATTTTCTTTGCACGTGCGATCGTGGCACTGTTGTGATCCTTGAAAGTGAGATCCTCAGACATTACTACTCCCAGGTCCCTTACATTATTTTTCCGCTCTATTGTATGGCCGGAGTCAGTAGTATACTCTGTTCTAGTTATTATCTCCTCCAGTTTTCCATAACGGA